CCCAAAACAGTGGTACGCCGAATCTCGCAAAGTGCCACGCCTGCCATGGTTTTCACAAAACTAGCTCGGAAAATAGCATTTTTTCCAGGCCTCGTTTTAAGTCTTAAAAATGTGCTCCCGCTGTGGCGAAACGCGTATTTTCACAAAAAACGCGCGACGGAAAACGACCCGTGCGGATGTTCATGCTCATTGTGGCTTACGCATATACATCTAGTATACACTTGCATTTCAATGCCTCTTTCAGCCAAGCTGTCGATGAGCATCCTTTTTCGTATGCAGTTGCTTGCAGCTTCAACTTTAGCTGTATAGTGTACCAACACTCATGTCATAGTTGTGCGGATACTGATACAAATGCTGATGCTTATAGTTGTACATACCCTCACTCATGCACATACACAAACGCATGCATACATACGTGCATACGCACATACGTACATACACGCATTACAGCCTTGCCGAACACTGTTTGTGAACAGGGGTTTAGGTCAGAGAGGGAAGTAGGAAGGCTGGAGGAGACTCGGGCTTTGGGTACCCAAGAGATTCTCCCTTTCCCAGCAGCGCATGCCAACAAGACTCTGCGAGGGCATGGGCTAGTGACGTGGAATGGGCAGACAGGGCAACACTCTGAGGTATCACTGTGGCTTCGAGGGCGTGAACTACATGCAGTCCAGATTCCACACCGAGAAAGACTTCAACCATTGGATTCAGGCCGGCTATTCTTGTGAGACCCCTTTGCAGGGGTGTGTTTTGTTTGGCTCATTTGCCCACATGACCACCAATGGACTCCCAGACGCTGGGCCCGAAAAACGTTTGAATTCTGGCAGGGCAGGGTGCGTCAAGGAGGAACGCCTGGTGGCCATTTTATTACGATGACAGCCCCCAGTCTAGAAGGGCAGGAGGGGCAGAGTTTAGGCGAGATGTTCAACGCATTTCCCATCGAGGATTCAGTGACTCCTGAAGTTTGCAAGGACTACTTAGATGCAGATCCTAATGTCACCCAGCACATCGTGCGCTATGAGAACCTGAATGCAGATCTGCGCTTTGTGTCGCTCGGTTTCGGCATTCGACAGAAGTTGTGGCCACACTGTCTCGACAACAAAGCTCGTTGTGCGTGGACGTGTTCCGCAGGCTTGGTCTGTACAATATTACCTTCAAAAGAGACTCGGAGAAATTACAACAGCTCCGCTGTCTTTAGTCAACAGCCATGTGAGACTGTTGCGGCTCTACAGGCACCCCACCAGCTTAAACAAGGCACTTATACAGGACAAGGCGGCACGGACGTCATGACAGAGGGTGCATCTTCTCAGGACTGCGGCATGATAATGGCGGAGGAAAGCGGATGTTCAGAAAAGGTAACGTCAGCAACGAGACGCTTGCATACATCCGTGCCTCTCCGCCATACCAGCGACGGGTGGTTTTTACAATCTGACTCAGTTGCGTTTTGACCCATAGGTGCCTACTATGCAGCGGACTTCGTCAACTTCGGCTACCCGTTGCCCTGATCAGGCACAGTTGTGCAAGGCAGCAGAGCGGTCGTGGCCTGCACCGCAATGATGACAGCCTCGAAGTGGACCTGGAGCGACACGACTCCCACGGCTTCCGGGATCACGATCTCAGGAGAGCTTCGACCTCGTGCATCCAAGCCGCGCGAAAGCGCTCCAAAAGCGGACGCATGCAAGTGGCATCCCCAGCTCGATCTTTGGCTACGTCCGAGTGTGCTAATCCTGAAGGTACTCACTTCGATTGCTTAACCAGTTCTTCATTGGTGTCTGCGACAACCCGGCGCAGGCGGGAGAAGGATTGTGTTCCGGATGCCACGGCGTATGCCACGCGGTGGCTGTGCCTCGTGTAGAGCATCCCCTCTATGCCCAGGCAAAGCCGGCGGAGCCCGAGGCAGTCACAACTGTTGATAGCCTTTGGGTGAGGTTGGGAGGATGGAAGTGCCGCCTGTCGTAGTGTGCGAGAGTGGTTGCAGGCAGTCGTTACACACCTGGGTCTTTAATGCATTCTGCATGTTATGTTCTTTCGAACACATGATCGATGCAACTTGGTGCTTGTCCAGGCGCCGAGCATGGAATTCCTGCAGATTTTGAGGCGTCGCCGTCACGCACACCAACACACTTAGTGGCCTCTTGAGACATGTGGCATGTTCCATCTTCAGGTCAATTACTGGGGCTCTGCACACGTTTGACGAGGCGGCCAGGGTTTGCTGATGCCAATCGGCATTGTATCAAACACTGTGTGGGCAGCATGTGCAAGTCAGTGCCGGAGTGGAGGCGAAAGCAACGGGTGAAGCACAAGGTATACTGAAGTGACCAACTCAGGAAGAAGTTCGTTGGACTAGCTGGCGTTGCCGCATTGCTTTTAGGAGTATTGGCCGTTGCCGCCAAAGACAGCTGCAGCAGAGATACTCCCATCGGCGCTCATCTGCATTGCCGAACAAATCTGCACGTGAGTGTTAGACGAGGCATTAAAGTTTACCGTTCGCAAAAGCCTGGAATGCAAGATTGGCTTTGTGTGTGGCATCCCGACTCCATCACTTTGCCAAGTGATCGGGACTAGGCTTTCGGAGGGAGGTCATGTGACTTGTAAAAGCTTATCAACAAGACCAGACAGAAAAGTAGTGGGACTACTGAACCCGAAACACACAGCCAACCAGCACAAGATCCCATTCTGATGTGATACTTGCACAGAGACTTCAAGGACGAACTTCTGTCATTCGACGGCAGCAACATGTTCCCGACTCTGGCTTGACGGTGTTTGCTAGCTCGTTACTGGAATCATGCTTTTCGTGTTTCAATCGAGCATGTTATCTAGCCTTGATGTCGTGGCTGGCACGCTGCCTGGCCACCTTGCGCTTTGCCAGTGCCGGGACTCCGGAAATGCTTCCAAGTCTGGTGCAGCCAGATAGGGAGTCTGCACAAAGAGCGCATCAGACCTCTGGGCAACATGGGGAGGATCTATCGCCACGATTTGGTCGATGGCGAAGTCCGGGAGGCTTTGCTCCGAGGTTTGATGTGTGCTCGGCGGCGGATGCCTTTCTAGTGCCCAGACTTTGCTGTGCCACGCTTCTTTGCTCGGGTTGCACAACCGCAGGTGTCATGCGAGTCGCTGGACGACTGCTACGAAAAAGGCATCATGACGCATTGCGCCCAGAGTAGACGTGTCACTGTATGCCGACATCCGTGACAAGCATGCCCCAGGGGTCGCATGCTCACGTCAAGCACGCCAAGCCACTCATGCTGCATGCGCAATTCGCTTTATTGCAAGGCCCGGCATGATGCTACATCGGTTGTGGGTGCAGGCCTGAGAGGCGGCCTTCCGCATCGTTCAACTCCGGCTCGGCTCCGTGTACGTCCTGGCATGTCCTGACATGTCCTGCCATGTGGTGCACTGGTTTCTTCCTCAGGCCAGGGAGATAGCCTTGCCGGCTCGTTCACTCGAGTCAACAGATCTAGATGTGACAAAGGGACCATCCTGGCAGACAATGCCTGTGCGGGTCAACAGTGTCTGAGCCAGGACGAAGCCGTCAGGCGCCGCCAGGGGAAGTTGGATGCACTGCAGAATGCATCCGCAATGCTGGCAAGGCAGATGCAGGCAGCAGTGCGAGGCACTGGATGCGGTGTCCCGTCAAGAGAGCTGTTGTCGTGGAAAGGTCAGACGCATCCTTCGCCGGATGCTTGGTGCTGGCGACCCGCAAAAGGCTCCCAACATGCGAATGGCGCGGCCCTGAGCCTCCGGCAGACGATTCGTATGAGTGTGGTTTGAGTCTTGTCTCGGACAGAACCCCATCTTATCCGGTATTGTGCCTTCTCGGACACGCCTTCGGGGTAATGAATGGAGGGTCTGGGCCTCCCAATGTCTCCCAGGTGCGTCGCTTCAAGGCGGGGCCCGGAGTTCAAGAGCTTTGAAGGCTTCGGAGGCTTTGGAGGAGTGGGTGGCACGTCCTGCGTCCTGCGCTAGTTTCAGGACGAGCCAAGAGGCGTGACGGTGCTGATGCTGCTCTTCGAAGCCTGGCAAGGGCAGGCGCGGAGATCGCCCTAGACCTGGTATTCAAGTAGTTACAGGCTCAGTGCATGCTTGCCGAACTCGGACCTGGAGCTTTGTGCCTGCTTGCAACAGTTAACAGTGAATTCAAGCCACGAGCCACCGTCCGCGGTGAGGGAGCTACTGCCCCAAACTGCCCTTTTCCCTCTGGGCCTCGAGAAGTTTTGACACGTTGACACCGCACCGCACCGCACCGCAAGCAAAGAAGCATGGGTCTTGACTTTGGAGGCGGTGCCTGCTGTGATTTTCATGCCTATCGGCTTGGAAAATAGCGCCTCGGCAGCCACGGGGGCTCTTCGGGGCCCTTCCTCCCCAGCCAACACACGAAGCATAATTAACATGCGATAGATAGATAGGTAGATAGGTAGATAGATAGGTAGATAGATAGGTATAGGTAGGTAGGTACGTAGGTAGGTAGACGGGTAAATGGGTAGATGGGTAGATAGATGGATAGATTTATAGATAGATAGATAGATAGACAGATACAGATATTGGTATACATACATCTACATCTACATCTACAGTTGCACATTTTTATGTATACATATACAACAGCGTATTCATGTATGAACCCAATAGGACATGGGAGCTTTCAGTTTCATCCTTTCCTCCGGTTGTGCGGCTCGTATGTATTGTGTTCTCTCGCCTGCCACAGCCAGGTGCCCCGATGCTACTACCTTGATATCATGTCGCAGTTCCTGCGCCATCATGAATTGTGCTTGCTGCTGGTACCTGGACGGTCTAGACTACCACACTGGCGCCTCCGTCTGCCTTCCCTTCCTGCGTTCGCTGACAAGGATGCTCCGTCACGGCTGCCCCGCCAGATGTTGGAGTGGTCCGAGTCTTTCTCAAAGACGGGAGTTGCTTCATCCCCACTCGTCTTCTACGAAGCGCACCCGCCCTCACTCAAAGCTGGTGCATGTCAGGTCCTCTGGATTCTGCGATCTTGTCGAGGCAATTTCCGGCTCGGCCGCTGTACCGCTTTCGCGTGCTACGATTCGCACATCAGCCTGCGATCCGCCCCTCCGACCCCCCAACCGGAAGGGATTCTGACCGTGCTCTCCAACCCTCCTGAATGGGGTCTCCTGGTCTGCTGGTCTCCTGGTGGTCTCCTTATGTTCTCCTTGTGGTCTCTTGGTTATCATGGTCGTCCTAATTTCGTGAAGCATGCAGAGCGCTTAGGGGTATCCATCCTACACACACTTCAGGCTTCTACCGTAAGTAACAGACTGTTGCTGGACGATCCGATTGAAGATGCGAAGTCTCTGTACCGAGGCTCTGCTCAGCTGCCTGCAGTCCGGTGCCGAGGAAACAAGACATCACAGCAGAGCAGGGCCACTATGAAGCCATATGAAGCCTGAAATCACCCCGCTATCCGCACGCGCTCGTCTCAGACGGGGACAGCCTTCGTATTGCGTGTCGGCCCATGAACGAAGGCAGACAAGCAACTAAGCCACGCAAGTAGCAAGGAGATCCATCTGCGAGGTGCTTCATTTGCCGGGGCACTTGGCTGGTGGCTTGCGGGACCGCGTGCCTGCAGCTGTCCGCACACGAAGATCCCGGAAATCCGACTTAGGGCCTCAAAGGTCTCACAGTCTCATGCTGGGAGCACCTGTCAGCTTGGGATTCATGGTTTTTTGCGGTTGCGCGTGCCAGGATCCCGAAGAGTCGCTGCGGCTGTGTTGCAAGCGGTGAGTGCAGCCGATTCAGAGTCTCATCATCTGCTTATAATCGGTACTTGTAGAGGTTTGGGGACGCGAGTCAGAGCTGAGTCGGAGCGCTTTGAAGGGCTCCGTTTTGGGCGCCAGGCAGCGCCTCTCCCTGGGACTGGCGCAGCGAGGCCCCGGGCACCAAAGCCTTCAGCTGTATGCACAACCCTTTGAGAATTGGGACGCGGAATTCAATTTCGACTGGTTCTGCCGGAGCTCCGGAGCTTACGGAGCTTGCAGCCTAAATCACGGACGCAGGAACTAATCCCTCGCCACTGCGCTTTGCTTTGCCTATGTAGGCTTCGACTGCGCTTTGCTTTGCCTATGTAGGCTTCGTCGTCATGAGCTTCGACCCGATCTCACAGGTGGGGCATGGCTAAGAGCCTTCTGTTCAGCCGTTCGGCTTCCTCTGCACTGCTCGCAGGGCGAACGCACCCAGTACGGCGACGGAGAGGACATCGAGTGAGCCCCCGAGATCTGCAGAGGGAGCTTGAGCACGGACCGAGCATTGCAACCGGCCCCCCAAGCTGATAGGCGGAGGAAGGCGCCCCGTGTGAACGCCACCTACAGGTGTTCCTTGAAGTACCGGCACTCCCCCGCGGGTCACATCCTCAGAACGAGAGGCATGAGTCACATGGCCGGGTGGAAGCTGTCGCGGATGTCCGCCTCGCAGATGTTGGAGTTCGGTTTGAAGGTTGGCAGGATCTCATTGATTCGAGCGTCAAACCCTCGCACACTGCTTCTTAGCTTAGACATGGAAGGCATGTGGACTCAATGTAGACATCATGGGAAACGGACGCCTCTGATTGAAGATACGTTCCTGGTTTCTTGGTTTCTTTCAAGACGATGTCGTCGCTGAGCGTGCCGTTTCATCTTGCATCATGCTTTGCAGAGATCGTGCGACTTGTTCAACGCACATGTTGTCAACATGCCTGCTGTAGGTTGCAAGCATCCTTGCTTTCCGCTTCGAATCAAGGGGCTCAAGCGGGGGGTATGCCGAATCACGCTGCTCCCGGCTTGACGCAAGGCCACCTAGCAGATACTCGTATGTTCGGTAGTTCATTAACACATGCTGCTAACATGTTTGTTACCTTGTTCTTAGCCGTATACCCCTGTTAAACTGGTAGCATCAGTGTACTGAGATGTTGCGGCTGATTACTCTGGCAATTTTGAAAGCTGTTCTTGCTGTAGCTGCAACTA